CGAGGGTCCAGCTCTACTTCTCTGGCACGGTCATTAGACCTCGTCGATACTATGGCGGTCTGTCTCTCTCTCTTCCTACAGGAAATGCATACGTGGTGCTTCGTGCCATCTTTCACAGAGCTGGGGCCCTAGGCTCCTTGAATAGAAAGAGACGCTTATGTAGAACTGAACGACAATAATAAAGATATCATCACGCTGATTGATCTCCTTTTTCTTCTAACGATAGGCTTCCTTCAAGGCGTCGACGCTCACAAACATTCAACGCTTTTCACTAAAGAGAGGCTGTGCGGTCTGACGTCTGACTGACTGAGTGAGAAAGCCCCTGTCGGTAGTTTTCATGGAATTCGTTTATTTTTTCCCGGGAGAAGTGGACGAGCGCTATCAAGCACAGCGAGCTTTCCAGGGCGCGAGGCGTGATGAGCCTTTGAATGTGTCTGATGAACCGGGACGAAGGGTACATTGAGAGATCCCATCTGAATGAGAGCTCGATTCCCAGCTGACCAAGGATTATCGAAGTGCCGGGAGTCGATTCTCTGGCGGCGGCTTCAATGGTCACACGGCGCACAGTGGTCAAAAATCAATACCTAGGTGGACAAAATTATTTCGATGATTTTTTCGATGGAGTTCCGTTTCCCGAATGAGGCGTGAGACTCGGAAAGGGTTTCCGGCCTCCAGCTCGCCCGCGGAGACGATATTTGAGGTCTTGAGGACGTTGTTCATTGAAATATCCCACCAACTTTATGCATGCAGATTTGAGAGAGACGAATGCTCATCGACTTGTTTCCTGCTCGACTTCCATGTTCCTACAGGAGTGGAGACCGCGCCAGTTTGCCCGTGAGTCAGACTCGGAACATCGTCTGCTGGCGCTCAAGAGATCGCTTTTCGGCGGTAATACTGGAAACGAGCTGTTGGATGTCGGATCGCCGAGATGACTCGCTTCGCCCCCGAATCGCGAGCACCGATCGGGATCCATATCCATGCTATTGTAAAAGAGGGAATCTTTCTCCACAATCGAAGCGGATCAAAGCCTGTAGCGAATTCTGCATCCCGGTATCTCCGCCTATGGTCACCCACGAGCAGTAAAAGAGAGGAAAAAATATTCTAAGACAGCCCAGGCCGTCTCGTCTGAAGCATGCCCGGCTATAATTCGATGTCTCCGATGAAGACCTAAAATCAGCGAAAATTTGACTTTTTTTTTTTAAAGCCCTTAGCGCAAAAATGCGCAGAAATCGGAGGTGTGCTTCGAAAAGCGGAAGGAGCTTTTAAAAAAAAAAATTCCTGGGGCAAGCCGGGGCAAAGGTCCTAAATGAGCAGTTTAGGTTTTCGCCTATTGTCGGCCACGAAAGAATTTTCCCTCGGTCGTATCGATACAAATCGCAACCCTTCGGGTCGGTGCGTCCTTGTGGGGGGTCATCCGTCCCTAATTTTAGTCGTATCGGATAGTCTGAACCATTCAAATTTGAGATATGGGCGAAAAACGACCGAATGATTTTGTCCACCTAGAAATCGATTTTTGACCACTGTGCGGCGCCCCGACGGTGACCCCAGCCCGCGCCGCCGCAAATGATCGGACTCCTCACGAAGTTCCGAGCTTGATCGCCTTCCATATTCTGCGAGGATTGGCTTACGTAATGAAGACTCTCTTTATACCAGCGGATGAGCTTGTTTGCCAACACGATTCCCTCTGCTCCATATTATAGGTCCTAGGAGGATATTCTCCAACATTGAGCGGACCATTGAGATCTCCGGTAGGCATGAAAAACATGTGACGCAATGAGACTCCACCGAACATTTCGGCGGTTGGCGTCTAGCCAGTCTCAGTGATCACGGGAAGCGGAAGCATTGTATCATCTGATGAATAATCCGCGTGTCAGAGTTCAGAGACAGATGCTTGAGGCGGGGAGCTTCTGATGACATAGCCATTTATCAAGGAGCCGAATCGCCGACTTCTTCCGAATTCCGCGTAAGATAATGGGATTTGTTCTCCAAAGTTTGAGAGTTGGAGTGATCGTTAAATGTTCCGTAGACTTGTAGATCGCTCTGACGCCTCTGCGGGGCTGTAATCATCCTATCGCTTCCATCTTCCATTCCCGGAATAAGAATTTCCACGTTTCAGTGATTTCCCGACTTTCGGAATCGACAGATTTTTCCAATCGAGGATCAGAATTCGCTTTGATTGTAATGGATGTATCGAAGCAAAGCATTTCGCGACGTTTCTCCGATCTGCGGATGTAGTCGTCGCAGGCTCTTTCGCGTCATTCCAGACTAGATTCTTTTGTTCAACACAGAACTCATCCTCTGCTATCCGAGAGACTAGTTCGGCAAGAGTCCCAAAGCAGCTCGTTTTTCCCGCACCTACTCTTCTGGTAATAATGGTCGCTCCAGTCGCCGAGGACCATTTTCTTCGATTTGCTTGGCATTCATCGATCTCCAGGGAGTCTTTGTCGGAGTGCGACTTTCCTCAGAAACGAGGCTTTTACCAAAAGACCGTTGCGTTAATGACCAACGTGCGTCGCAGGCATTGTCCCAATTATCGTGAATCTCTGAGTGGTGTCTTTCTCCTAGTAGTTGAACAATTGCTCTATCTGTAGATTGCTTTCCCGAGAGCGCCGCCGAGGCGAGCATTGGAGCCCGATGTGATCCGAGAGTCGTAATTTGGCGATGTAAATAACATCGACTTCCAACCAAGCCTAATCATAACGATCGCGACAGCTGCGAATATATCGAATGCTAGTGTCATGCATAATCCGGCTCGTATCATCTCTCTGTCGAGTCCAGAAAAAAGTGGAATGTTCGAAACGACGGAGACGAGGTAATCGCTTCCTGTTGGTCGCTATTCTTCGTGTCAGAATTTGAAGAGGATAACTCAGTCAGACGCACCGCGACGATATGGCGCCTCAGCGGTCGAGCTACTTGTGGACGAGCAAGTAATATTGTGATAATAACGCAAAGACAACCCGTTTGTGTGATGAAAGCGATGATAGATACGCTTAATAACAGTTAATCTGCTAAGCGCGAGGAGCCATTAGCCGTAAACGTGACAAGGAGACACTTATTTAATGGCTACACGGAAAAGAAGCTGGTCGATCCCGGAGGGAACTCCGACAGAGCCGTCCGAAGCCGAGGAGATGGCCGCTACTGCGAAACGGAGTTTGAAAATATCTGTCCCTCGTCAGACAAGTCCATAGTATGATAGGCGACTGTAACAGATGCGAGGAAGCTGTCTGTCCGAGCACAGACGCACACACGGTCAAGACACAATCATTCCCGAGGATCAGTCGGCTTCGATGCAATATCCTGCCAGGGATTTGTCACTACACGTTTTTGTTTTATCGAAACGCTGGGGGAAGCCATCCCACGCCTACGCACAGCTTGAGATCGAAGTTTTCGCTCCCGATTCTTCGGATGCCATAACATAATGAAAAAAGATTGGGCCGGATTCGAATAACTATTGTTGAAAGATCCGTAAGCGTCCGGAGATCCGCGACATGTCATCGCAGAGGACGCACACGAAAAAATGGTTGACGTTCCATGTGAGATTTTCCTTGATTCCGAGTTCCAGCCTTGAAGAATTTGGAACTCAATTCTGATAACGAGCTGGAGGATCCCCGGAGTAGCCCCCGCTGGATCTGTGTGTGTCCGATCGCCTGCGTCGGGGGAACAAGAATCGACTGTTGTCGTTTCGAAGAGAACTGTTCCGATCTGAGGTCAAAACTGGATTTTTGTCCCCGATCTACCCTCGCTAGGGGAGCCGCGTCAATCGTAGAGCTCTGAACTGAGAATCGGCTCGCCAAAGAGCAGGCGCTATCCGAAGAGCGAAAGGAGCTTGTCGGTAGGCTCCTATCTTATCCTACGGACCGCTCGGAATTCCATGCTTTCATCGAGGCGAGCTCCGTTTTCGTCGGCGTTACGTCGCTGGAGGAGCTATCTTGGACCTGCATAAGGAGCATGATATCTTGGGGCAACATCGAGATCAATAATCACCCGGAATAGAGTCTCGAATTCACAATATCGAAAGGGTACTCGCTTGCTCATCATTGAAGGCAAGAACAGCATCGCAATCGGGTGCACCTAGACAGTTGTTCAATGTTTGAGAGGTTATGAAATCGAGGCCAAGTTGCCGTGCGTGAAATATTGCTGTATCTGCCGCGGACAGCCATCTCGATCGAGTCTCGATCCTGGCAGCAGACAACTACTTTTTCCCATCGAGTGTTCTCCGAGCTGACTTGGCCGCTTCTCAATGAAGACTCACAGCAGTTATTAAAGAGCCCATTGGGCAGCAACAGCACTCACGCGGTCCGGACTCTAATCCGATATTTATTAAAAACAAAGATAATAGTTGAGTCGCTCAGCAAGCTGGGAGTCGCTTTTTCGTATTTTCAAAATATCGAAAGCAATGCCTTCTTCGTCATCGCTGTCGACGAACTCTGACGGCGCCCCCACCTGAACATGACACGGAACTCGGGACCGTTCACGCCTAATCCTGAGATTCGAAACAATGAAATCAATAGTGTTCACCGACCTGCGAGAGACGTCCGAACCTCACGTGCGTTCATTTCCCTGCGGTGGGGGGAACCATCGTCTATCGAGGCGACTACATATCTCTCGTCACGGTAATTCACAGGTGTTCGGTCTGATATCTCGGCTCGAGCTCATCGAGCCAAGAAGTTTGTCGACAAGGAACGGGCTCGTTATTCGCGGCTGTTTTTAGCCTGATGAGTGTGGGAGCTCCGCGCGAATGTATCCCGATGCCAGGCCGGGTCGGCTGTCGGACTCAGGAACGCAAGTCGAGCGAGGGCCGGGAGAAGACGGGACTGCCGAGAGGAGGGCGAATTGAGAGCAAAACGAGTCTCGATAAGGACGGACTGATCGGGAATCTTTTGTCTCAATAACACATCGGCAAGTCTCGCCTTATTGTCTG